TGTCGGTCGTGGGGCTTGAACTCTGGGCCTGGGCGCTGTCCCTCAGCTCTTCAGCTCAAGGCGAGCGCTCTACCACTTGAGCTACAGCGCCACTTCCTAATGCATACATTTCTTACCAAGCATTGTGTCTTTGAGTTTTTTTGCACAGGGCTAGTGCTCTACCACTTAAGTCACAGTTCCACTTCTGGCTTTTTGCTGGTTAATTGGAGATAAGCGTCTCATGGACTTTCCTGTCCAGGTTGGCTTTGAGTCCTCAGATCCCCACCTCCTGAGTAGCTAGGGTTACAGGTGTGAGCCACCAGGGTCTGCTGTCAGGTCATTTGGGTTTGGGGCTGGCATTCTGCAGACTTGAGCATCACATCTGTTTCCCCAGTAAGCCATTTCCCTGCGAGCTCAACCATGCTCTGATGACCTGCCTCTGTTCCTGCTCCAGGGTACCCTGTCCAGATGGGTCCCATGGCCCCTGCCACCCTCCCACCTCCCACCCCAACAAGTACCGTGGTCCAAGGCCCACCTCAAACCAGGGAGCAGCTGCCGGTCCCCGAGGTGCACGGGCCGGCCGATGGCATCGTGGGCGCAAGCCAGACCAGCCTTTGTACGTCCCCCGGGTGCTACGCAAGCAAGAACAGGCAGCTTCCTCAACCCCAGAGCTCACGCGAGAGGCCCCCGCACATGGAGTCTCAGGAGAGCCTGCAGGTGCTGGTGCTGGAGTCCCTGACACTGCTCAGGGACTCCCCATGTCGACAGCTGAAGGAGCAGAGGACCTGAAGAGCCCAGACCGAGGTCCTGAGAAGGACCTGGAGCTCCCAGAGCCTGCCAGTCCCCCAGGCACAGAGCATGGCCCTGAGTCCCTTGGGGTGGAAATGGCCACACAGCTTGGGTTCCACCTGCAGCCAGCCTTGGAGGAAGACAAGGGGAGTCAGCTGGAGCAGAGCCTGCTGAACAGAAAGGAGGAGGAGGAGGAGGAGCAGGAGGAAGGGGAGGTGGTGAAGGAAGAGGTGAAAAAAGAGGAGGAGGTAAAGGAGATGGAGATGGTGAAGGAGACCAAGGAGGTGAAGGAGGCTGAGGATGTGGAGGCCCAGGAGGCAAAGGAGGATGGAGAGATGAAGGAGGACCAGGAGCCTGGCAGCTGTTCCGATGATGATTACAGTGAGCTGCTGCAGGAGGTGATGAGGCTCTTGAGCCCAGAAAAGGGAGGGCGGAGGTGAGGTGGGTGTGGCCACAGGTGGATGGGCACAAAGGGTTTTGGGGTGGAGGGTGGGGAGTGTGTGGGGTCTGTAGGGAACACGGCAAAAGGAATGGATTGAGGTCCCAGGGCAACATCTCAGGAGCTGCTTGACCCTGGGCAAGTCATTTGCTTTCTTCAGTCTCAGTTTCCTCATTTAATTAAAAAAAAAAAAGATGGGGCTGGGAAGGTGGCTTAGTGGTAGAATGCTTGTCTAGTGTGCATGAAGCCCTGGGTTCAATTCCTACTGATCAGTACTGCATAAACTGAAAAAACTGCTTCCCAGGCCCTGAGTTCAAGCCCCAGGACTGGCCCCCCCTCCCAAAAAAAAAAGGAAGTTGACACAAGCTTCACAGGAAAGTATCTGCAAGTACTTTATTTTTTTTGGTCAATCATGGGGCCTGAACTCGGCCTGGGCGCTGTCCCTCAGCTCTTCAGCTCAAGGTCAGCGCTCTACTGCTAGAGCCATAGCACCACTTCCAGCCTTTTCTGCTTCTATGGTGCTGAGGAATCGAACCCAGGGCCTCATGCATGCAAGGCAAGCATTCTACCACTGAGCCACCTTCCCAGCCCCTCTGCAAGTATTTTGCCATCTGCTATGGAAGAGTCCCTTTTTGCCTGGATCTGAGTCTTATATTCCCTTGGAATCATGTGTCCTCGAGGCTAGCTGTGGGTTAAGTGGGGAGTTGGGCATCTTTGATTGCTTAAGGAAGAAAATTTAAAATTTATGTTTTTGAGATAGACTCTTGCTCTGGATAGCAGAGGCCAGTGTCTAACTTATTATGTAGCCCAGGGTGTCCTCGAACTCAAGATCCTCCTGCCTCAGTCTGCTGAGTACTGGGATGACAAGTGTGGGTCTTCATAACCTGGCTAGACCAGCTGATTGACAATTTGAGTACTTTTTTGTCCCTCAGTTTCCCAATCTTGAAAGGATATGTGGACCCATGTGTATGTGCAGATGTCGGGCACCTGTAGAACTCAGGGCCTTCCTCTAAAACTCCCATGTCCTGACCATTCTGGCTCAGTTTGGGACCATCCTGACTGTTCTAGCCCTGCCAGTGAGCCCCTCTCTGAGCTGTCTGAGCAGTTTTGTAGCTGTTTTGGGGCCCTGTATGTCAGAGCTCCCCTTGCCAAAGGATCTGATTACTCCCAGATCACAGCCAACCTGACTGAGAAGGAGATTCAGATTGAGAAGATCTATGTGGACACAACCTCCTTCGTGGAAGAACTGCCCGGGGAGAAGGATCTGGCCCACGTGGTAGAGATCTATGATTTTGAGCCAGCACTCAAGACGGAGGACCTGCTGGCCACATTTTCTGAGTTCCAGTGAGTACCCAGGGTAGCGGGGTGAGGTGGGCCACTTTCTCTTTGGAGAGGAGCAAGGACAGCACCGCAGGCTCAGGATGCTTGCCTGTCCCTCCGGGGCTGACTCATTTAAAAGGCAGAAGGTGAATGCTGCCTGTGCTCCCGCGCTGGGCCTGCAGGCTGCGGCAGGTCCTGCCCCTGCTCCTGTGAGCTCGGCTGCGGCTGGTGCTCTCTGTACTCCCGCAAGTTCTGCCTGTGGCCTGTATGTGGCTGGGGGAGGAATCCCAGTGGTTTCCCGGAGGTTTTTTCCTTCCCCAGGCTGCCCCCTGTGTGCTCACACATTTGTGGGGACCCCCAGGCCCTGTGGACACCACGGCCCACGTGCCTGCCCTGCACACCCCCGCCAGCTGTTCAGTGGGTCTGCAGCAGACACGGGAGTGTGTCTTCTGTGCGGAGGAATTGGTTGGGAACTGGCAGTTTGGAGGCCATATTCAGACACAGGATTTTTTTTTTTTTTTTTTGCTTCCAACCTCTTTTCTCCCTTTTCTTTTAAATTTTCTTTTTTCCACTTCTCTACTTTCCTGCATGGGACATTCTCCCCCTTCCCTCCAGTCCTGGGGTTTGAACTCTGGTCCTGGGCTCTGTCCCTGAGCTGCTTTTCCTTAAGGCTAGCAAATTAATCACTTGAGCCATAGCACCACTTCTAGCATTTTCTGATAGTTTATTGGAGATAAGAACCTCACAAACTTCCCTGCCTGAGCTGGCTTCAAACTGTGATGATCAGATCTCAGTCTCCTGAGTCGCTAGGATTACAGGTGTGAACCACTGGTGTTTGGCTTTTTTTTTTCCTTTTCTTTCTTTTTCCTTTTTCTTTTGGTTTTTTTTTTAAAGGATAGAGAGGGATATGAAGATATGGAGATAGTGTCTCACTATCTGCGAAACCTCAAGATCAGTGCCCTGAGTAGCTGGGATTCTAGGTGTGCATTGCCAGCCACGCCCCGCCTGCGTGGGCTTCCTATGCGGTCCTCCCTTGTGCGTTCCATGCCTGAGCTCGAGGCGCTGTCGGGAGAGCAGTGCCAGCAGGCCACGGCTGCTTCCACTCTCTCCTGGGCACAGAACACAGTGACTTTCTTAGGAGGGTATGCTTGTTTTTGGTCCTGTCCTCTGCCCACCCCCCAAGCCCCTTGGCCCCCAGCCTCAGAGCCCACACCCAACCCTGCTGTGACTTGACAGAGGAGAGCCTTCCTCACTGTGGCCTCGTGCTCTGTGAGATTTTTCTTGTCTAGACACCGGGGACCCTCCTGGCCTTTTTCTTTCTGAAGCGAACTGGATTGTCTTGAGAAAGCTTGCAGCCTACGGCTGACTCCTTCCCTAACTTGTTGGAGGGTGAGAGGTAGGAGGGAACTTGCTTAGGGATCCCTGGGGATTTTGGTCACCCTGCCTCTTTTCCCCCCACACAGGGAGAAGGGGTTCAAGATTCAATGGGTGGACAACACTCATGCGCTCGGCATCTTCCCCTGCCTGGACTCAGGTGAGGCTCAGCCCTCTGATCACTGATAGGGTAGGGGTGACACCCAGGTTGCTCGGCATCTTCCCCTGCCTGGACTCAGGTGAGGCTCAGCCCTCTGATCACTGATAGGGTAGGGGGTGACACCCAGGTTTTCCGGGTAGACTGTGTCAATGTACCGGGGAAGTCCCTACTGAGCCAAGCCAGAGCGCTCCAGTCCCAGCCAGCCAGATCCATAATCTTGCTACAGCTTTCTGGAAAGAACTCAAGGCTTTGGCTTTCTAGGCAGGCCTTCTAGAATGAGCCATGTCCCCAGCTGGAAGTATTTATAAATAAGACCTCACCACATAACCCAGGAGCAGCTTGCACTGCGTGGCCTGGGTTTAGGAGACCCAGGGAACAGGTGGCTGTTTGAATTGAGCAAAGCAGAGGGTGGGTTCCAGCCCCTGAGAAGAGCCCAAGGAAGGAAGGCAGAGCAAGGGTGATCAGGCCGTGACAGCAGAGCCTGTCCTCCTGACGCGAGAGAGCGCCCCACTGCAGTACCTGAGCACCTGAGCGGGCTGGGGGCCCCGCCCACAGCAGTCTGCACAGCTCTGGGGCATCAAAAGAGCCGAGGCTGTTCTCTTCCACAGCCTGGGCAGAGCACCTGCCCACACTGGGATTGGGTGTGTGGAATGGTGGCGTCAGTTTGGGTGACCCCAAGGAGCCTCACACAGACGGGTGGACCACTTCACTAAAGCTTTCTTTTTTCAGCTACTGAGGCCCTGACCAAGGAGTTCCCCATGCTTAAGATCCGGCCGCTCACGCAGGGGAGCAAGCAGTCCAAGCTCAAAGCCTTGCAGAGGCCAAGTAAGAGTGTGCTTGTCGTGGGTGGGGAGGGTGTGTGTGCGTGTGCGCGTGTGTGCATGTGTGCATGAGTGCGTGTGGGTGGCCAGTGGCTGTACCTGGCAGCTCTGTGTGGGGTCGCCCTGTGTCACAGCCTCCTCTGGGCATCACTCGGGGAAAGTATGGCCGGCCTTCCTGCTCTGCATGATTGTGAAGGGCTCAGGCTCTGGGGTCAGCCTTGGTCGGGATCCCTGCTGTCCGTCCCGCTCACCTTGGGCCAGTGACTTAGTGGGAGTCCATCTCTTCCTCTGTAAAGTGGGAGGATTTGACTGGGAAGCCTGAGGCTTGCATGAAAGTAAACAAAGCTCCATCAGAGCCAAATGGAAAGAGCAAAGGTGGCGCAGAGATGGTGCTTCCTGCCTTTCCTCTTCTTTTTCCAAAGCACAGTGGGGTGTTTAGAGGCCAGCTTTCCACGACTGCAGAGTGGCGGCCAGCGAGACAGGCTGGGGGAGGGAGGCCTGCTAAGGCCATCAAGTGTTGTGGATGGTGGTGTGGCCTTTGTCCCAGGCCTCTTGGGAGCAATGAACACCCTGTATCACCCCTCCCTCCCCCAATTAGATGTCCTTGGCTTCCAAGGCTGCTACTCCTCAGAGGAAAGGCAGCCAGAGCCTGACCCAGGGCCCCTTCTGTGGGGCCTTCCTTTCAGAGCTCCTGCGCCTGATGAAGGAGAGGCCACAGACAGATACGGCAGTGGCCCGGAGGCTGGTGGCCCAGGCCCTGGGGCTCCAACACAGAAAGAAAGAACTGCCTGCTGACCCGGGTCTTCTTCCCCACTGAGGCCCCACACCCGGCCATCCGGAAGAGCTGAGGTTCCAACACCAAAAGCCTTTTACAGACACAGGACAGTGCGTTGCCACCGCTGGACCTCCCCGCTGGGGCCTAGTAGGCTTCAGTTGTTTTAGTCCCAGAAATTGAGAACAAAATAAAAGCTTTAAAGTTGTCCAATGATTGCTTCGAAACGTGCTGGTCTGTGGAGGAACACTAGGGGGCACTGTCCCATTTTCCCATTGTGGCCTTCAGCTAGTGAAGACCAGCTCACTCTAGGAGACTGGTGTGGACAGTCCTAGCTGGGCTTTTCCGGCATGTGTGTAAGGCTGCCCTGTCTGGGGGCGCGTGCTCTGTGCCCCTTTTCCTCTGGCCTTCAGAGCCAGGTACCAAGGTTCTGGGCTGATTGCATTGTTACCTATTGAGGTGGCTTACTGCAGGGCTTCTTGCAGAAGTCAACAGGAACAAAGCCTAGCAGAAGAGCTGATTCTAGACCGAGTCTGCCTCTCGTGTGAGGGCTTCCTCATGGAAGCCCTCTTCTCTGGCTTGGCTGGTGAGTGGGAGGCACAGAGACCTGTCTTGGGGACTTGGGGGTATTATTGACCTGATGTGCTAGGCCGCAGCATGCCCCTTTACACAGGTGGGAGCACTGGAGTGAGAGGGGCAGGGCGGGCGGACGTCGGCGCCGTTGCTGCTCTGTAGGTATGCACCCCTCTCTGTAGGTATGCACCCCTCTCTGTAGGTATGTACCCCTCTCTGTAGGTATGTACCCCTCTCTGTAGGTATGCACCTCCCTCTCTTTGGGCCTTGTGGCCAAATTTGGCTGTCCTGTCTGGCCCTGATGTACAGTGTCTCCGCTAAGTTTCGTGTAAAGCAGCAGGATTCAAGAAAGGTCTTGGTTAAAAAGTCATGCTTACATCTTTGTGGATTTTTTTTTTTTTTTGGTCCGGTCGTGGGGCCTGAACTCTGGGCCTGGGCGTTGTCCCTCAGCTCTTCAGCTCAAGGCTAGCGCTCTACCACTTGAGCCAGAGCGCCACTTCCGGCTTTTTTCTTTTTGCTTATGTGGTGCTGAGGAATCGAACCCAGGGCCTCATGCATGCAAGGCAAGCGCTCTACTACTGAGCCACCTTCCCAGCCCTCTTTGTGGATTTTTTTATGACTTTCCTGGACTGCTTCTCATCTAGACTTCCTCCTTTCATAGTCTGTACTGGAGGAGCCTGAAGCCACACTGGCCAGTAGGGACATGGGAAACGCAGGGCCCAGGCACAGTGTTCACGTGCCCAGTGTTCACGTGCACCTGAGGTATGTGTGTGTACTGAATCTTTCAGTCTGCAGTCGAGAGGTAAGAATGTGTGTGTGATGAGGGCTGGGAAGGTGGCTCAGTGGTAGAGCGTTTGCCTTGCGTGCCTGAGGCCCTGGGTTCGATTCCTCAGCACCACATAAGCAAAAAGAAAAAAGCCGGAAGTGGCGCTGTGGCTCAAGAGGTAGAGCGCTAGCCTTGAGCTGAAGAGCTGAGGGACAGCGCCCAGGCCCAGAGTTCAGGCCCCACGACCGGACCCAAAAAAAAAAATGTGTGTGACGAGTCCCATGGGCATCCTTGTCACCTGGCTGAGCCATAGCACCCTGAATTATTCACGCACAGAGCTAGAACAATCGGAGTTGTCACAGGTGGGCTGGATTTCCTTTTCAGCTGTATTTTTAAAGGCTCAGTTGCCCAGTGGTAAATACTTTTAAATGACATTGTGTTTCAGAGACCACACTAATATCCTAAAAAGTAAGAGGGTGTGGAGCGAAGCACTTCCGTGAGCTCACCTACTCCGAAAACAAGGCAGTATGACAAGTTCTCCCTTAGCTGACAGCTTACTTTCCCAGTTACTTCTGTCATTCTAGAGACAGTCTGCAGGGTGGCAGGTAGCTGATGCGATCTTGCTGTGCCTTTGATGTATCCATTTGTGTACGCTTACCCCCTCTTCACACCCCAGTTATCAGAATCTAGTGTTCAAGTAACTCTTACTTTGCTTGCTAATAGCCACAAAATACAAGAGTACTCATGACTCACATGTGCCAAAGAGAAGCTGTAAGGGGCTTCCTTTAAATGAAAAAGACGAAGTAGGTTATTTTGATAGAGACCACATTCAGGTAACATTTATTACAGTATATCATTACAGTTTTATTCTATTAGCTATTGTTGCTTATCTTAATGTGTTTAAATAAAACTTTTTTCCTTTGATTTAATGAGGCTTGAACTCAGAGCCTAGGCAGGTAAGGCCTTGCTTGCTAGGCAGCCACTGTTAGAGTTGAGCCACACTTCAGGCGGTGGTTAATTTGACTGTCCACTTGTTGAATCGAGAAGCACCTAGGAGATTAGTAAAGCACACATCTGGGTGTGTGTGCACGGTGTGTGTGGGGGGGAGAGTGGTCCAGAGGACTGAACACAGGAAAGCACCTGAATGTGGGCAGCACCATCTTACAGGCTGGGGGCCTGGCTGGAATGGACAAAGAGTCTCCTGTCTGCACGAGGCCAGCTGCTTTGCTCTACCTCACGTTGCCTGCCATCACGCTCTGGTTCACCACAGGCCCGAACTCACAGCCAGCTGACCATGGATTAAACCTCGGAAACTGTGAGCTAAAAGAAACCCTTTCTGCTTTTGAGTTGTTTCCCCTAAGTATTTCTGACAGAATATTGGCACCAGAGAAGTGGGGTCATGGCTGTGACCACCTGACAGTCTGGTTTTGGAGAAGCTTTTGGAACTAGTTTGTGGTGGGAATTTGAGAAAGGGTGGAGAAGTGAGCTAGAGGAAGGCAGGGCGCTGTCAGCAGAGCTGAATGGGCAATTCTGCAAGTGCTCAGAAGAGCAGAAATGCGACAGAGAAGACTGCTCGCGAGGGAACAGGACTCTATTGGAAGCTGGCCTAGGTGCCACTTCTGTTAGATTCTGGCAAAGAACTTGTCTACATCTTTTCCATGCCCTGAGATTTTGTGGGAGGTTGGGTTTAAAGGTGATGGACTCATTATGGCAGAAGAGATACGGAGGCAGCCCAGCGTTCAGACTATGTGGCATGGCTAGCTATTGTGGCTGCTTTTTGCCAGGTTTACAATGAGAATCCTTTAAAACTTTCGGTCAAGTATTTGTCACAGCTACGAAGAGCGAGCTACCACAGTATATCTGTATAAGGAAAGCATAATACACACAAGGCCTGGCTGTATACATGGATGCAGGCATGCCCTGGGGAGAAGGAAGGGGAGATATTGCTCTTAGAAGCCTTGACTATAGCTGACTTGAATAGAAGCAGTTGTTTCATTGGAAAGAAGTCTAGCTCTTCAAGTTGGTCAGTAGTGACCTAAAAGGGTGAGAAATGGGATTCAGCTTGACCACCTCTGGGACTGATTGCCTCATTTGCAACATGGGATTTCTGAACAGAATGGCCATTCTGTGCCCTGCCTGCCACGTTAGACTCAGGAAGGGACTGTGGGGTAAGCTGACAATGGCCTGGGTGTATGTGGGGTCCTGGGCAGGCTTGGCCTCCAGCATTGCTCCCACAGCCCTGTGGACAAGCTCTGCCCCCTGAGGGCTCCCCAATCTCAGACTCTGGAAGTTGGGGAGCAGCACCTGGTGAGCCAGAGCCCCTCCTCCTGAGCCAGGTTGGGATGGGGCGCGGAGCCCTCATGGGGCGTGGCCATCGGCCTGTTAGTGTGGGAAGGGTGGAGTCGAGGTGGTCAGTCTGCAGAGGGGAGGGGAGGAGATGCAGCACGACTTGAAGGCAGGAGAGTACCCTGAGGCTTCTTCACTGTGTGGACAGCTGGTTATTCAAGAGTCCACTGAACTGCTCAAACTTTTGTTCCGTCTCCTCACTGAACGAGCCACCTGCAGAGCGGGAGTTGGAGGAGTGGAGAGTTAGAGATGCCTGGGTCTCGCAGAGCTGGGGTGTTGGCCTCTGCTGGGCCTGGCGCTGAGGCCCCACCAGGGCAGGACCAGGCCTAAGCCGGCTGGAGGCCAGGTACAGCAGATGCCCTGCCAAACGCCAATGTGCATGCCTTTGAACTTTCACCATCTCCAAGACGGAGGTCTGTTCTTTTCCTGCAGAGGAGAAAATTCTTTCCCTTTTCTTCCCTAGGTGGTTTAATCTGCAGAAAAGCCTCTGCTGGGGACTCAAAGTGAGTCACTCTTAACCTGTGACGGGAAAGCCCGACACTGAGCCCGCGCACTGCCGCAGTGGCGGTCTTAGCTCCTGCTCTTCAGTGAGCGTCTGCTCCCGCTGGGCTGTCCATCCCGCACTCTCCTCTCTCCCTGACCTCAGCCGGCTGAGACAGCCCAGCCTCCACCCCAGCCTTCAGCATCTCCGACTGTTCTAGAGCTTAGAGCTTCCCTCCCAGCTGAGGAGGGGTGGGGCGGGCGGGCTCACCGATGTGGCAGTTGTACATCCAGATGCGGTAGCCATCATAGCGGGTCCGGCACTTCATGATGTTGTTGGAGAAATCAGACTCTGGGACCTCGTAGTTGGGGTTGATGACGACCTGCGAGGCATCAAGGGAGAGGGCTGCGGACCCCATTCCTGGCCACCCTCACCCTGGTGTACCACACCTGTGAAGTGACAGCAAACCACCAACAGACAGCACCAGGCTGCGCTACGTGCGCACTGTGCTTTCCCGGGTCTCCCTGAGGCTGTGGCCCTGGCTCGCGGGTGGCCAGCGCTCCACTGTCTCATTCCCAGCCTTCTCTGCCAGCGCATGCGTGCCCTGCGGACACTCTCTGCAGGTGTTGACTCTTCTGCAGAGTCTGAGGCAGGGGCTGTGGGCCAGACCTCGGGCTGGCTCAGTGCCCCTTTGGGAAAGCTTTTGAGACAGAGTAGCATATTTCTGGTTACCAGCTTTGCCACCCTTCAGGGCAAGCTCAGAACGGAGACGGGTGGGGTTGTGTGAAATGAAGCTTCCACAGCCATGAGCCCAAAGAGGGGACAGCAGCGTAGTCTCGGGTCTCCTATGCCCAGCGGGCCCTGGCCCAGCATGCCACTGTTTGCAGACGGCGCCAGACCAAGGCCCTCGGGCTTTTCCTCAGAGCTGGTCACCCCCTAGTCAGGATAAATGCAAGGCCTGGGAAGCACTAGTCATTTCCTTCCTTCCTTCCCTCCCCTTTTCTTCCCCTTCCCTTCCCCTCCCTTCCCTTTTCCTCCCTCCCTTTTTCCCTCCCTCCCTCCCTTTCTTCTTCCTTCTTCTTTATGCCAGTTGTGGGGCTTGAACTCAGGTCCTGAGCACTGTCCCTGAGCACTGTCCCTGAACTCTTCTACTCAAGGCTAGTGCTCTACCACTTTGAGCTACAGCACCACTTCTGGTTTTCTAGTGGTTAATTGGAAATAAGAGTCTAACGGACTTTCCTGCCCAGGCTGGCTTCAAACCATGATCCTCAGATCTCAGCCTCCTGAGTATCTAGGATTAGAGGCGCCTGACTATAGAGTCGTTTCTTTGTGTGAGGATGGCTCTTCTGCAGTGAGGTTGATGAGATTGCTTCCAGCCCGACAGCACACAGCCAGGCAGGGTGAGGGCACTGTGGGGTTTGGGGTGGGAGGGGGAGAAGCTCAAAAGGAGGCCAGGGCACAGGCCACCTCAAAGTCCATGGAACTGGGTCTGAGGACTGCAGGTGTTTGAATTCATAGGCACCAGATATGAACCGCGGGCCGATGTCTCGGCATTAGGGGTCCTCACAGGTCCCCCACTCTTCCTAGCTCTCAGGCCCACAGGCTCTGCTTTCTTAGGTTAGTGGATGCACATGGAGGCCCCGGGATACGGGACCTGCCTTTGGACAGCCTGGTCTCCACACACCTGTTTCCCTGCTTCCCCCTGCCTTGGTGACAGAGCCTGGTCCCTTCTCTGCCCACTCACCTGGAATAGGTAATCTCCGGGAGGCACGTCGGTGATGTCCACCCACTGGCAGTCGATGTCATGGCGGTACATGTCCCAGCAGCCCATGGTGATGCCCTGCTCACCAAAGTTGGCACACTCGTAACTCTTCTGGATGTCTGCAGGTGGGGACCGAGGGGCCGTGAGCACATAACCTGGTCCCCAGCCTCACCTCACCTCCCTTCCTTCCTCCCCCTGGACCCCACTGCTGTCTTGTCTGGGCCCTGCATCCTGTCCGCAGTGTGTGGTTTCTGACATCTCATTTCAATGGGACCCCTCGCTCAAGTCCACCCCACACACTCCCCTTCCCAAGGCAGCCTGGCTCAAAGCCTCCTCTGCTCTGAGGCCCTCCCTGACTACTCCAGCCCATCCTGGCCTTTCTGACACCCTTAGCCTGGAGATGAAAGGCATGCTTATGTGGGACATCTTGGGGTTCACTGTTTGATGTGGGGTTACCTCCTCTCTAGTATCAGCACTGGAGCATGGCTCCTTCTGACTGGTCTCGCAGGCCCTGACAGGTCATCTGCGCCTGAGTGGAGCCCAAAGCCTCTGCGGGTGACGTGGTGGCATATCACGCTTCAGTGGAGAAGCCGTGTGCCTGGGGCTTTGCTAGGCAGTGGAAGAGTGTGAATGGCGCCTGTCTCCTGGAAGGTCCCCAGGGACATCAAGGTGACAGTATACCAGCAGGTGATCAGAGTGCAGGTACAGTGACCTGCTAGGTGTGGGCACAGAGTGCTGCCTCTGCCTGGGTGGGGAACAGCACAGGGGTCTTCTGAACTTGGCCTTGAAGAGTTATCGCCTAGTAGAGGGGAGGTTGAGAGGGACACCCAGGAAGAAAGGTCTGGCAGGCAGAGTAGGAGGGTGTGCAGCAGGCCCAAGGGACTGAACTTTACCCGGAAGGCCACCTGTCCCTCCCTGTGCCCATCTGCACAGTTCTGGGGGACAGGTGACATTAGAGCAGGGTCCACGCCCAGCTCCAGCTCAGGCCCCAGAGGCCCCAGCGGCAGGTGGATGAAGGTCCGGCATGGACAGAGGCGCCTCCGAAGCCCCCAAGCTCTCCCCACACCACGAAAGATACCTCCTTCGCATTCGGTGTCCTCCAGGCAGAAGCTGGCCTTATGGCCCTCGGCCACCTTGGTGCCATTGAGGTTGAGCAGGTCGTAGTGGGTGAACACTTCCATGCTGTGGTAGTGCCTGGGGGTGAGACATGGCTGGAGGTCAGCACAGGACAGGAGGCCGCGGCCGGGAGAGGATAAAGCAGAAGGAAGGCCAGAGTGATGCTCTGGAGAAGTTTCTGTGTTCTGGCACTGGACAACCCCTGACCTCGCCAAGCCATCAGCTGAGGGAGTGTGGAGAGTCCTAGTGAAGCCTGGCAGTCAGCAAGCTCGGCCACTTAGGCTGTTGTTTAACAAGGGAGGGCCTCTTGAGTGCCGCCTGGAATATTCCGTCGCCACCTTTCTACCGTGCTATGATAAGTGATAGTCCAGGGGTGCATGCGTTACCAGCCTAGTCCTCAGGGTGGCGCTGTTGAGAGGTGATAGAATCCTAGGGAGGTAGAGCTTGTGGGAAGTTCTTAAGCCTTTGGGACTGAGCACCAGCCACCAAGAGGGACTGGACACCTCAGTCTCTTTCTCTCTGCTTTCTGGCTTGAGTTGTGGGCGTTCCCTTCTGCACACATTCTCACCCTGATGTTCCCTTACCAGAACTGAACCTAGGTGGCTTTGAACCGCCACAACTGTGAGCTAAGTAAACCTTTCCTAAGCTGGCTGCCTTGGGTATTTTGTTGTAGTAACGTGAGATTGACTGACACGGTAAATTAATTTTCAAAATCACATCCAGTCTTTTAAAGACATTTTAAAGTGGGAATGTAGAAGAAAGAAGAGAGAGTAAGCGGGGAAAGGGGAACAAAGGGGAAATAAAAGTTAATGAGATTAGGTCACCTCTGAAATCCTAGTGATGGGGAGCACTTGAGACCCCAAGGTAGCAGCCGGGCCTTCAATCCCTGAGGGGGTGAGCGAGACAGTGCCCTTTGCAATGGGCAAGTCAAGCAAAGGGGGTCTGGGAAGGCCTCTAGAAGAAGTGGGGAGATGCGATGGCAGTGTGGGAAGGGTATCCCTGGGGTCCTGGGAGGGAGCCAGGGGAGGGGGCTGTGCACGCAGGCCACTGACCCCCTTGGCTGATGGTTTACCCTGTGTCTGTGTCTACACTTGGAAAGAATTGAGAACAGATGCAGCCTTGGAAAGCGAGGTTTTAGCCTCGGAATAAACAAGGGCGGCTGAGGGTTGAGCTGGGGCTGGAGGCAGCAGGCGGGCGTAGCTCCCTCTGTCCCCGCCTGACACGTGTGCATCGGGCCCCGCAGCCAGCCGTTCCCACATCTACAGTTACAGGAGCACAGAAGATTGGGTGGCGCTTTGGGGGCCTTGTTTCCCTCCATCAGAGGGAATGAGAACCCTGCTGCCTGTCAGTGGTATAAGGATAGAATAAGAGAGACCGCGAGGCTGGCAAGGCGGGGAGGGGGCTCTGGACCCCTCAGGCACCCACCTGTGTATTTCATACCCCTTGGGGTGGTGTGTCCCGCTGGCTTTCTCTTTACTGCCTCACGTGGCAGCCCCTGCGTGCCCGCAGAGGGCCGAGGGAAATGGGGGATGGAAGGGATGGGGTTTCCAGAGGAAATGAGAGGTCTTTTCCCTTCCTCCTGAGTTCACTTGGGCTACAAATAACATCAGACATGGCTGAGCTGGGCTTCCCCAGGTCTCCGGCGTTTCTGGGTGAAGCGGGACGCTCTTCACAATGCACATGTTGTGCCAGTTCAAGGGATGACTTAGGGAGGGTCTATTTTGGCTGCTGCAGGAGCCTAGTGAGACATGAGGTCTGACTCACTGCCTAAAAAATGTCTGCTCCCTCAGAGAGGGGCCTGTGTGACCACGCCGGCTGGCTGGAAAGACTGAAGAGGAGTAGGTTTATGTTCCGTTGTCTAAACAGAGTTCAGACAGAGCCACAGACAGGCTGTTGTGAGGTGACTTCTCCCCCCCCCCCCCCCCCCCCCCCCCCCCCCCCCCCCACTCCCAACCCGCCCTGCTGGGCCTCCTGCAGACCTGACTTCAGTCTTCTCTTGCTTCAGTTTTTCCCCTGTGAACGCTGGATGGGAGCCTGCCAGCTGGTTTAGGCCTCCCGGTGTTTGTGGCTTCTGTCCCGGGGCATCTCTGCTTTACCTGTCGACACTGTGTACGTGGACTTCCCCCTCCATCTCCAGGTAGAGCCCAGAGCCATGCCCCCCTCAGAAATACAGAGGGGGAAGGTGGGTGGGAGAGGGCCCCTCGGGAGCTTAGTTAGACCCAGGGTGGTGATGGGGAAGTGCAGGCTTGGGAAGAAATTCCTCAACACTAAGATGCTGGAGGAAGAGCCGTCAGCAGAACAAAGGGAAAGGACTTTGCTGGAGTGAATGGACCATGCCACCAGACTGCGTTTGGGACAATGCCCTGTTTTCACTTCGGGGGTATTTTTCAGTCCCTCCTGTGGGTTCCATCCTGCTGCCCTCAGGTCCCAGGCTTCCCCTGCCTCCCGCCCCCCTCCTGGCAGTAACAAAGCCACCATCTTGGTGTCTGTGAGCTCTGGGCCTCTGGGATGATGTGCGGTCAGGGCGCAGGTTGTCAGGGGCTGCCGCCGTTCTCCAGCAGTGCCACCTCTAACCTGGGGGGGGAGCTGTCCCCTATGCTGGGGCCAGATCCCCTGAAAGTAAAGTCCAGCACCCTACCCTGCATTCCACCCCAGCCTCCTCAGGGAGCAGAGGGTTGGGTCCCTGAACATGGCTGGACAACTGCTCTGGATCTCTGGGTCTCAGTGTTCAGCTCTGTCTGGCCCCCGTCATGCTGAAACAGGGCAGCCAGTGTGGAGCAGGTGTGGCCCGATTTCCTGAGGTACCAGGATGCACAAAGGTTTTCAAGCCAGGAAGCAATGCATGTGAGAGAACAGCTCTGGGTATTTTCCTCTATGCCTAGTTGGTAAAGAAACTTCCAAGTACACTCTGTGTGTGTGTGTGTGTGTGTGTGTGTGTGTGAGAGAGAGAGAGAGAGAGAGAGAGAGAAAGAAAGAAAGAAAGAGAAAGAGAGAAAGAGAGAGGGCTTTCACAGAACATGTCTGCAAACCTGCTGACATGGGCTGTTAACTATTCTAGAGATACTATTTTTTTTTTTTTTGTCATGGCTTCCCAGCTTGACTCAGGAAGCCTTGACTGAATATGAATGAGAGGAAAAACCATCCCAACTTCACTGAGGCTACAACAAAAAACACAGACATGTTCTGTCAGTTGTGGGGCTTGAACTCAGGGCCTGGGCTCTGTCCCTGAGCCTTTTCACTCAACACTAGCACTCTACCCCTTTGAGCTACAGCACCACTTCTGATTTTCTGATGGTTAATTGATTAGCCTCCCACAGGAATCCCACAGAACCTGAAGCCAGGCACCTTGTTGGAAGGGCTTCTCAAAGACCCCAGAGAAGGCATATGGGGAGGGAGAGAGAGGGAGAGACGGAGGGAGGGGGGGAAGAGAGGGAGGGGGAGAGAGAGAGAGAGAGAGAGAGAGAGAGAGAGAGAGAGAGAGTTTGTGTGCTGTATGGTCCCAGGACCAGTTTTGGAGCTGGAGACCAGGAAGGGCAGCCTTGGACAGCATATCCTTCCTCTCCTCTCCTCCTCTCCCTTTCCCTCCCATTGGGTGGGAGCATCTATAAGCAAAGGAAAAAAACAGACCACAGAAAAAGGGGGGACTCCAGGACACCACCATGATGTCACCACATGGCTATTCTTAGGGGAGAGCAGAGTAAGCATATGGGTCCTGGACATTCCTACCATGTAATCTCTGGGTGGGCCGCCATATGCAGGGCTGAGATGCAATTACCTTCCACTCATAGACACAGGCACCGTCAGCCCGCTGCCCTGGCGTCCAGACATGTCCTCTAAAGGAAACCAGACACCTAGATCATTGTGACTTTTAATTTTCCTTTGATTGATATCCTCAAGATGCCACTGGTACTCTCACAATATACAGTCAGTTGTTTGAAAGGCAAACCAACCAGCATCTCTAAGTGTGTGTGTGTGTGTGTGTGTGTGTGTGTGTGTGTGTGTGTGTGTGTGTGTGTGTGTGTGTGTGTGTGTACACTAGGGTTTGAACTCAGGGGCTTTCCACCCTAGCTTGGCTTTTTAGCTCACAGCTGGCACTCTACCACCCCAGCCATTCCTCCAGTCTGGCATTTTGTTGGCTCACTAGAGATAGATTCTTGGTGACTTTTCTCCCTGGGCTGGTTTTGAACCTTTATGTGCTAGGTCTCAGCTTCCTGAGTAGCGAGGATTATAGGCCTGAGCCATTAGCAACCAGGAAGCCCTTTCTCTTGAAACAGAAGGAATCTGTCTTCAAAGTGGTTAGGGTGTGGCTAAGGTGCACGGTGTGTGTCACCAAAGCTCGGGCTGGCTGTAGAATTTCCCTGTAGACAGATGAGCTAGAAGGGACACTAGAGACCCCAGATCACGTGGCCTAGTAGGTCCAATACCACAGAGCTGGTTAGAGCCCAGGTTTCATGATCCCAGGCCCAGAGCTCTTACCCACACACCCTGTTTCCTAGAGATTTTTTTTTTTTGGTCGGCCGTGGGGCTTGAACTCTGGGCCTGGGCGCTGTCCCTCAGCTCTTCAGCTCAAGGCGAGTGCTCTACCACTTGAGCTACAGCGCCACTTCCGGTTTTCTGGTGGTTTATTGGAGATAGGAATCTCACGGTCTCTCCTGCCAGGGCTGGCTTTGAACCTCGATCCTCAGATCTCAGCCTCCTGAGTAGCTGGGATTACAGGCGTGAGCCACCAGCGCCTGGCTTCCTAGAGATATTTAAAACACAAACGGCTAAGGATATTTCTACATGGACCCCAATGCAACGAATACAGATCCCCAGAGTCTCCAGCAGAGCACAGGCTGCTGTGCGAGCACCCGGCCACCTCTGAGGGCCCCTGAGGGCCCAGCTCTAGGAGTGGCGTGTCCCACTGCCAGAATCCCAGAGTCCAAATCACCGGAGTCAGGGCCTCAGGGAAGGGGGGAAGGAGTGTCACCCCCAGCTGGGGCAGAGAATGGCTCCTGGAAGTGTAGAAGGCCAATGTGGCACCTCTGTCCTCTCTAGGTGACCCTGGCCATTCTGACACCCTGCCCCTCAGGACACGGGGGTGGGGGGCAGCTGGAGGGAGGGCCTACCTGTGGCAGTCATGCCAGATCCAGGCGTGGCGGCCGTTCTTGGGGCGGAAGTCCGACTGGCCGTTGTTGTGGATCTGGGAAGAGAAGCGCAGCAGGCGGCGGTAGCCGGTGGTGGGGTTGGTGTTCACAGCCGAGGCCGCCAGGCAGTTCTCCTCCATGGCGCACTGCAGCATGAACATGGGCCGGTCCTCCAGGTAGGCGGTCTGCTGCACGATCTCCGCGTTGAGGACCAGGTCAGGGGCAGCTGGGGAGAAGGATGATCAGTAAGATGGGGACTTCTCGCCCAGTTCTACCTAGGACTCCAGACTGGCCCTGCCCACCTCCTCCTTCTAGAATTGGCTCAAGGGAACTCCACGGTTACCTTCTTTGTTGACAATGACCCCAGGTGGCTCCCCCCACCCTCTTCAGTCAGCAGGGATGGTGGGCCACACACTGACAAGTGTTGGGTCTGGGAGATGGGCACACAGAAGCTTTTACGTATGTGTGCTGGTACTGCGGCTTGAACTCAGAGCCTGGCTGCTGTTCCTTAGCTTCTTCACATAAGGCTAGTGCTCTACTACTTGAGCCACAGCTCCACTTCCAGCTTTTTTGCTGGCTAAATGGAGATAAGAGTCTTACAGACTTTCCTGCCTGGGCTGGCTTTGAACCTTGATCCTTAGACTAAGTTTCCTGAGTACCTAGGATTACAGGCATGAACACTGGTGCTTAGCACTCTCCACTTTCAAGTGGCTTTAGTTTCCACAAGACAAAATGAAGATCCACGTTACTGACGGGAGAGAGAACAGCTCACCCCCCAGTGATTCTTTTGCAAATGCTACATTTCCCATCATGTACAATGTTTAGATATATAGTCTGCTAATATTGTTTACCTTAAGACACTTTGTGTGTGTGTGTGTGTGTGTGTGTGTGTGTGTGTATGTGGCAGTATTGAAATTTGAATTCAGGGCTTCATACCTGGCAGGTGCTCTACTACTTGAGCTGTACTTCTAACCATTAAAACAAAAAAAAATTTTTTTTTTTGGTCCGGTCATGGAGCCTGAACTCTGGGCCTGGGCGCTGTCCCTCAGCTCTTCACCTCAAGGCTAGCGTTCTACCACTTGAGCCACAGCACCACGTCCAGCTTTTTTTCTTTTTGCTTATGTGGTGCTGAGGAATCGAACCCAGGGCCTCATGCATGCAAGGCAAGCGCTCTACCACTGAGCCACCTTCCCAGCACTAAAACAAATCTTGATGGTTGAAGTATATCCTATATATTCATCTGTGGCTATATTACATTTCATTCATGGCTCTACCTTGCCTGTTGTTTACATATATACATTGGTGGCTTGAATTTTTCAGCTAAGGACAAATCTGTGATAAACATTCCAGGGCAAATTCATGTAGGTGAACTTGAGGTTCTTTTTTTGTTTTGTTTTTTTGGAGCCAAGGTCTCACTATGAGGCCAAAGTTGGCCTCAAACTCAAGATCCTCCTGTCTCAGTCTCCCCAGTGCTGGGATTACAGGCATGCAGCACCATACCTGAGTAATCTTTTCTTTAGAATAAGTTTCTGCTAGTGAAACTGCTGGGAGAAAGGGGCTGAATGTTGATTTTTAAGGCTCTGCCGAGGCACCTAACTTTTTAAAAAGGCTTGAATTCTTTAGTTAGTGCAGTGCACGTAGCAGGGGCTAAAAGAATGGCCAACAGATCTAGTCCATGTATACCGAACCATGGTAGCAGAAGGCTTAGCTTCCTGACAGGATGAGTCATAGGTTTTCTTCTATACAGGGTCCTCCATGGTGTGTTTCTGGAACACTTCAATTCATAACAATGTTCTCCAGAACTGCTTCACTACTGATCCTGCCTTCTTTGGTTGGCTGGCAAGTTGTGTGTAAATGTCTCAGGTGAGCATCCAGACTTCACGGGGACATGGGGGAGGGGGCAGTGACTCACCTGTCCTCCCCCTCCCCCACAGCCACCTTGGTTCTCAGTAAACACTGAGTTGCCCCACATCTGATGGAGAAGCCCGCTGGGAAGAAAATCCACCAACAAGAATCCAGCTGGGGTGGGGAGGAGGAATGGAAGACAGTGGGGAGTCAGGAGACTTTTTTCTGCTGACAAGTGTTTCCCTTGGAGGACATGCCCGGCCGCCTTCCTGCTCACATACACAGTTTTTTGGGGGTGTGTGGCATGACTCTCCTCTGTGTTTTCTGTGTCCTGGTGTGCACTCACATATAGCTCTGCTACCAGTACTGAGCTAAGCAGAGGTGTGGGAGCCCTGGAGCCCTTTGGGACCATGAACGGTTGTGTGAATGATGCCAGTGGAAAACCCTGGTTGTGTGTTGTCTACCCTACGTCTCAGTAAAGACACGGGGCTCTGCGTGCCTCTGCTTCTGCGGTAATCCTGACACAGACGGGGGGAGTACCTGTGTGCACTTGCCTCTGTGACTCCCCGTATCCTGGACTGCTTACCTTAACACTTCCTGATTCCTTGTTACACACCCCTTGGAATCTACCCTCTTCTTTATAGTCCCCATTAACTCCCTTAAGGTATCAATGGACCAATCGGAACCTATAGTTGTACTATAGGTGGAGTTTGGAGGGAGAAATCTTTGGTTTAATCATGTCTGTTGGTTAACCCATTCCTCACTCCATAGTGGTATTAAAAGACTGTGAGTTGGGCTGGGAAGGTGCCTCAGTGGTAGAGTGCTTGCCTTGCATGCCTGAGGCCCTGGGTTCGATTCCTCAGCACCACATAAACAAAAAGAAAAAAAAGCCGGAAGTGGCACTGTGGCTCAAGTGGTAGAGCGCTAGCCTTGAGCTGAAATGCTGAGGGACAGCGCCCAGGCCCAGAGTTCAGGCCCCACGACCGGACCCAAAAATAAAAAAAAATAAAAGACTGTGAGTTAACAACACTGCATGGAATCTGCTAGTTGGAACTGGCACAGAGGGGTCTCCATTTGGGCCCCCTTGGGCATAGAAGTAGCTTAACATCACATGGTCTGCATTCCACTGATAGGACCTGCCAGGAAACACTGACTTGATCGCCTGATATCCAACGTGGTTAGGCTCCTTGAGTGCTTTGAATTCCTTCTGGAAATGATGGGATATTGTGAGCGTAAGTGAAAGGATATGATACGGCCCTGGAAGAGGTGTGACCGTGGCTCTGTTGGACACTTTCCTCCAGGGGAGTCGTAAGGGCCGGGACCTCCTCATCGCTCTTCTCCCACAGGAAGTGATGGCTTGTGACCTGCCCAGGCTCTCAGTCCTGCTTTGCAGGGATTGCAGAATGCCGAGCAAGGCTAAGCAGGACTGAGGGGCGGGTGGGACCCACTAGCTCAGGCGTGGCTTCCATCTTCCCAGGTGCCAGGGGGATGACTACATCTGGCACAGACTCATTGTTGCCTTCATTTCCAATGTCTAGGAATGGCAGCAAGCACAGACCCCAGGGGTTAGCTGAGATGCTCAAAGTCAGCAGATGAAGTAGGGCCAGATTCTGGCTGCATGGCAGAAGTGGTTTTGTGTGAGGAGGACAGAGTTGGGCTCTCTGGGCATGGGAGAGGATCTTCCTGAGCTAGGACAAGATGTTCTATGCCCTTCCAAAGTCCTCATTTCCAGGGCCTCAGGGAGTTACCAGGTACCAAGCTGGCTTGGTGTGAAAACAGGCACTAAATGATCCAAGTTGGTCAAGTTGGAAGGAGGGGCAACCACACACCAGAGCACCCAGTGTGCCCTTTATCTGCATCCTGAACCTCAGCAGAAGGGCAGTCTTCCCCACTTACCTGCATGAACAGGAAACCCTCAGCCCCAGGATTCTGAGCTTACTGAAATAGTCAACAGTGGTCCTGTATTTTGAACCCTAGGCTCCCAGACATCCCTTCTGTTTTCTCTCCATGTCATCAACCAAGGTCTTGTGGTTGGAGTACGAGGCTCAATTATGTCTTTTGCCCCTAGTTCTTTTTACTTAGCCAGAATGGATGCTGAGGGCTCAGAGCCTTGGGAAGAATAACTACCAGCTCTCTGGATTCCTCCAGAGTGTGGGAGGGAAGAAAGAGGGGAGGAACTTACTTTCTGAGCAGGCAACTCCTGCGCCGTACTGCACCCCACCCTGGGGGCAGACCACATCCTCATCATGGCGACAATGGGCCAGGGACAGCTCCGTTCCTGAACACTTCACCCCACTCATGACCACTTGGTTTGCGATGTTTCCGTGCCAATACCAGGTCTCCTGGAGAAACCAGCAAAAGCACGGGCAGTAAGTCACACTGAATCATCACTTTCACGTAACGTGTCAACGGACAACTTCACAGTAAACCCAAAGCGTTGCTCAGGATCCCACTTCGCACGTGGCGACAGCCGAGGCACGCCAGCCGTGATCTCACAGCAGCCACGAAGAACGAGTGAGTGCCCTGCTCTCCTGACCCGCGTGGACTGTGGACAGGGACACTCAGTTCCTTCGGTTGTTTAAGACGGAGGCAGAGGTGGGAGAGACCTGCCCCAGGGACTGAGGCCAGAGAGAGGCCTCCTACTTCAGTGAGTGGCCTGGGTTCATTCTGCCCCTGTGGCTAGACAGGGCTGAGGGCTGATAGGGGAAGACAGGTTGGAAGGGGGCAGGCCTGGCTCTGAGGACCCCGCTCCTCACCTGGAAGGCACTGCTGGCGAATCCCAGGCCCAGCTGCCGGCAGACCACCATGGCTTCCACGATACCCCAGTTCTCACCACACACCGTCCCCCACACCAGGGACCCGTTCCTCTCCGCCAGCACCTCCACTCGGCCCTCGTAGGGATTGCGGCCCCCGTTCAGGCGCAGCTGTGGACGGCAGGGAGAGTGTGGTCAGCAGGACAGAAGGCAGGTCCCCACCGTACCGACCACCACAGCCACCCTTGCAAAGCCCCCTGTGTGGCAGCAGCAAGCCCGCATGGCATGATGGGGAGGCCCCACCCGGATAGCTTACCACTACACACCTCTTCTTTTTTATTTTTTTTGCTGGTCCTGGGGCTTGAACTCAGGGCCTGGACACTATCCTTGAGCTTACTTTGCACAAGGCTAGCACTCTACCACATGAGCCACAGTGCCACTTTCGGCTTTTCCTGAGCAATTTATTGAAAATAAGACTCTCATGGACTTTTCTACCTGGGCTAGCTTTAAACTGTGATCCTCACGTCTCAGCCTCCTGGGTAGCTAGGATTATAGGTGTGAGCCACCAGTGCCCAGCTTCTCCTCCCTCCTCTGCATATGGATTCCATGGGTTATGGCGGCACTTCCCAAGGGCTGCTAGATTGGGTGCGTGTTCTCTGCATGGTGCCCGCTCTGGGCATTCCCCATGGTACGGTGCACACAGAGTAGCACACTCTGCTCAGATGAGACACTGCATCCTCATCCTGTGCAAGGCCCTGGTGCATGTGAGCCTGCCCACTATGGTCAGCCCCTGGACAGCTAAGGGAAGCATTTTTATTACCTCACCTCCATCCAAAGCATCTCGCAAAGCCAGGCAGGGCCAAGCCAGAGTTGGGGCCTGGATTGGGTTGCCAGGCTAGGCTCTGACCTTGGGCCTCGTTCACCATGGCTCCTGATTTTATCCCTCATAAAAGCCATCTCTAATGTCTGCAATGGCAGCTGCCTTGACAAGGCACAGCCAGCCAGCCTCTGGCCTCCATCCCTCCCCACTCCCCTGGCCAGCCTCCTTGTGGACCGGGTGAGACTGGATATTCAGGTCAGACATGTACGGGGGCATGGTGACGGAGACTATAGGCCTTAGCTCATGTTAGCTTTGGGCTGAGCCCTCTGCAAAGCTGACCTCACCAGCCACAGTGGAAGTCCAAAAGGTCTGGAGGTCAGCCAGGCCTTGGGGTGGACTGCACCGTGTCCAGCATCACCCAATGAGTAGGCCGGGAAGGCGTGGCCTTCTCCATGCCGCCTATGACAGCCTTCTCCGGTCCCTTTGGTTCTTAGCGACAGCAGTTTGGAGTTTTAAAGGTAGGCATGAAATACAGGCAGCCAATCTTTGAACATAGCAGGGAAAGCTATTCTGCACTATGGCTTTTTTGTTTTTGTGCAGCTACTGGGGCTTGAACTCAAGACCTTGTTCTCACTTGGCTTTTTTTTTGCTCAAAGCTGGTGGAGCCATAGCTCCATTTTGGCTTTTTGGTGGTTACTTGGAGATTAAGAATCTCATGGAGGGCTGGGAAGGTGGCTCAGTGGTAGAGTGCTTGCCTTGCATGCATGAGGCCCTGGGTTCGATTCCTCAGCACCACATAAGCAAAATGAAAAAAGCCGGAAGTGGCACTGTGGCTCAAGTTGCTGAGCACTAGCCTTGAGCTGAAGAGCTGAGGGACAGTGCCCAGGCCTGGAGATCAGGCCCCATGCCTGGACCCCCCTAAAAAAAAATTAAAAAAAAGAATCTCATGGAGCCGAGCGCTGGTGGCTCACACTTGTAATCCTAGCTACTCAGAAGGCTGAGATCTGAGGATTGCAGCCACCCCAGGCAGTAAAAACCATGAGACTCTGATCTCCAATAAACCACCAGAAAACCGGAAGTGGCGCTGTAGCTCAAGTGGTAAAGCACTTGCCTTGAGCTGAAGAGCTCAAGGACAGCACCCAGGCCCAGAGTTCAAGCCCCATGACTGACAAAAAACTAAACTAAACTAAATAAATAAATAAAAATAAAAAAGTCATTGCTATTCCTTAAACACAGAGGAGGTAGTAGTACTATAATGAATGAAAATCACGGTGTAATTAAATGTTCAAAGAATAAACAAAGTACATGCAAAATTTGCCAATTTTGAACAGCATTTTCTTTCTGGAAACAGGATGTAAACAAATCTGCATTTCTTAGAAAAAAGGGATATGAAAGCTGATTCAACTTAATTCAACTTCTACGACCGGCAAAAAACGAAAAAGAATATCATGGATTTTTCTTGCCCAAGCTGGCTCTGAACCGTGATCCTGAGATCTCAGCCTCCGGAGTAGCTAGGATCACACTCGGCAAAATGACTTGATGAGGTTGTGAGTCCAGGTCCTTGGTTTTCCAATGAGCACTCAAACCTCCCACTGTCACAGGATCTTCCCTCAATCCCACGCCGTGTGTGACCCCAGCCTTCCCTGTGAGGGTGAGTTTCTGTGGAAAGTGATCTGGGTTTATTCCAAAAATAGTCTCATGCCTGGCTTGGGAGGCAGAGGGATGGGGAGGAAGGAAATTTGACCTAGATGTTAATGTGTAAGGAAAAGGAGTCATCCCAGCTCACACCATACAAGGCCAAGCCACAATTCCGGGTAAACTGAAAGAACTGCAAATCAGCTGAACCCTCCCCCCCCCCCCCCCCCTCGCCCCTGCACAGCTTGTAGAGAGAGCCTCTTGCTGTGACTCTGCTCGGTCTCCCAGTAAGGAAGGAAATCAGGGTTGGCTCTGGCTGGGACAAAAGAAACCCAAGTCTGCAGTGCTTAAGTGTTAACTTGCCACTCAGTAGAGGTTTCACATTGAATGGGGCTGGGAGGAGGCGGATGCCTCCCAGGGATGAATAAATCATCTAGTTGGTGACTGTGAGGCCTGACTGTATCCCCTGCCTCACTTCAAACATGTGACTGTATTTGGAGAAGGGGCCTTTAAGAAGGTAATTAAGGTCCCATGAGATCATATGGGCAGGCTCTTCCCAACAGGACTGCTGTCCTTATAAGGAAGACACTAGGAACCCAGGGAGGCGGAGGGGAGGTCCTATGAGGACACAGAGGACCAGCCTGCACCCCAGCAGCTCACGCCTGTGATCCTAGCTACTCAGCAGGCTGAGATCTGAGAATCCCCATTTGAAGCCAGTCTGGACAGACAAATCAGAGAGACTGTTATCTCCAACTTACCAACAAAAAGCTGGAAGTGGAGCTGTGGCTCAAGTAGTAAAGTGCCAGCCTTCAGAGTAAAAACTAAACACGAGTGCGAGGCTCTGAGTTTAAGCACAAACAAACAACAGAAAAAGAGGTGGCTATGCACAAGCCAGAGGCCCGGAGGCCTTGGGAGAAACCAGCCGTGCCAGGGCCTTGGCTTGGATCTCTAGCCTCCAGGAGGGAGCCCCAAATTGTGCTAGTTCATTCTGGCAGCTCTCACTGACTGGCGACTGCTCAGTGCTGTTGCTGACACTTTTTGATGCTGTGTCAGCCTTGGCTGGTGTACCTGCAACCACCCAGAGGTACATCTCCCAGAAAGGCATCTGGGAGAGGACCCAGGTACAAGTGAAGAAAGCCCTCCAAGCAGAGCACCACCTGGAGAAGCATCCTGCAGCCTGATGTGTCTGCATTTGCCCACTTTTTTTTTTTTTTTTTGGTCATGGGGCCTGAACTCTGGGCCTGGATGCTGTCCCTCAGCTCTTCAGCTTATGAGCCACAGCTCATAAAAAAAGCCACTTCCGCCTTTTTTCTTTTTGCTTATGTGGTGCTGGGGGAATCAAACCCAGGGCCTCAGGCATGCAAGGCAAGTGCTCTACCACTGAGCCACCTTCCCAGCCCCTGCCCATTGTTTAAATAAGCATAACCAGTATGCCAGCTCTGTACCAGATAGTGCATGGGACCTGATCATTTGAAGCACCGGAGAGGAGTGTTAAGCAGGATTTTCTGGGCAGGTGAATGGCATGGGATAGACCTCCTGAATGACAAGGAGGAATTCATCCCACTGGCTACCTCTAAGGACAAGACCACCCACTGCAGGAGACACAGGGCAGGCTTCAGAGACCCTACCGCTGGCATAGGGGGCTGTGACCCTGGTTACAATGCTGTTGATCCCATTAGCATTGTCTCTGCTTGCTCAGTGCTCTCTGTACAGTGTTCACACTGGTGGCCCATGCAGGCCTGCTATCTGTGTGGATTCTCTTGGTCCTTGGAAGGGCACATGCCAAAGGCATCGCAGGTATGGTGAACCATGCATGAGTCCCTTGTAGAAGGGACAGACTTCCCATTGTACTATATGTACGTGCCCAGAGCAGCCAGCGCACAGCCCCAGCTGGATACGCCATCCTCGGCCACTATGGAGGCGGTGTTTGTTCCTATGTCTTGTCATTCGTCACATTTTCAAATGCTAGGGGACAAATGGTAGTAACAGAGATAGAAGTGGACCTTGAGCCCTTACTGGGTTATCTCAGAGCCTCCTGAAGAATTCTCCAAAGCAAGGCTACTTGGTCTATATGATCTAGGGTTTCCACAGCGCCGTCCCTTCTGGGCACTGGCTGTCCCTCCTCACCTTCTTCTGGAAGCCCATGATGGGGATGTTGCATCTCACGCCAGCATCTTCCTCATGGTTGCAGCCCTGTGACTCGGTGTTGAGTTTGCAGTCTATGATGGACTTCTCAGTCCCTGTGCACTGGACCTCGTTGAGGTGGATGGGTCCGATCCCTGGCAGAGGGGAAGGAAGAGAAGCATACACTGTAAAAGCATCTGACGAGACATTTCTAAAACCAGTAAGGAAGTGCTGGACCTGCTTCTTCCATCCTCAGAGCTCTCCTAACTGCCTCTTATAGACTGCTCAGGAGCCCAGGCTTCTTCTCTCTGAAGAGATTATTGCTAATTGTTTGAGGATTGACTCACTCCTGCTGTAAGAGCAGAGAAAGTTCTGTGACTTTAGTCAGATCACTGGCGCTCACAGAACATTGGCTTTTTCACATTAATGAAGGGGTTGGACAAGTTGGACAGCTAAGTTCCCTCCCCAACTTCAATTCCCCAAGCATTTATGAGGGTCCCTACAGAAAACAGGGTTTATATGAAGTGGATGGCTGGAGTCAGAAAAGAGGATTTGTAGGAGAAAGGTATATAGACAGAATGTAGGAAGTTCACAGAGGGCGAATAACGGCAGGGCTCTGAGACAGTTAAATGGCCCGTTGCCTCTGCTCACCCCCAGTTCCTGCTGGTGCTGTGTTGGCCAAGCCCAACCATGCCTCCAGGTGGACATCACCGGCCAGGGTAGGCAGTGGAGACAGGCAGGTGGGAGACACCCAGAGGTGGCCCTTAGTGCCACGGGAGGGAAGCCCCTGTAGCTGATGCTGGGCTAATGAGAGCGAGCTTTCGACAGCTGGGGGAGAAGGATCCAGGCTGAACCACGTCCAGTCTGCTTAGCTTTCAAAAGCAGCTTCTGCTGGGCCATGTCTAATCCTTTGCAGGTGTTTTGGGGTACACTAACCCACATCATCTTGGACTCTGTTCTGCCACTAACTCTTTGCCCTTCTGGTCTGCTCAACACCTCCTTGTTGGGGGTCCTATCCTTCACACTCTAAACCTGCTCTCATTTTTATAATGGTAAAAGACAAGTAACAAGAGTTAGCCATTTTAAAGTGGCATGAGGTTCATTCTCAGTGTTGAGAAACCATCGACACTGCATGGCTGTAGAATTTTTTTTTTTTAAATCAACCCCAGAGGAAACCCAGAACCCCATTCATCAGTCACTCTCCTTTTCATCCTCTTCATAACCATTCACACTGGTTTTGTGTCTCAGCCTGTTAATTTCCTCCCATCGGGACAAACTTCAGGCCAGGGTCGCCTGGTTTTTGTTTTTTGTCCTCTGTCATCTTCCCCAGCTTGCTTCTCTGCCAGCCCTTCCCATTCCAGGAAATAAATGGTACCCTCCAACCACTCAGCTGTTGCCAGAGCCCAGAGGTCAACTCTGGCTTCCCCCTTCTTTACCTCCTCCATCGGCACAACCCACCCATCACGTTCTGCTCACTCCTCCAAATCTGGATGCTTTGTTTCTCCTCTGTGCTACCACAGTGACAGTCCACAGCCCTATAATCGACATGTGCTATGACAGCTTGTGGCCTTGGGCTATTCCAACAGCCTCAGGCACAGCCCCATCTCTTCACCACACAGCGACCCCAGAGAGGTTTAAATACATGTTGGATTGGATGGTTGGATCCTGTTACTCTTCATTGGGAAATTCCCCAGTGGCTTCTCATTGACCTTAGGGAGAAGTGCGCAGACTCCACAAGCACCAGTGGCCCCCACTTGAATTTAAGCAGTCTATTTCTCCACTTCCTACACCAGGCTCTGTGGATGCTCCATGGACCCAGCCCTCCACCTACCAGGCCACTCTGCCTCCCCTGGGGAGCCAGCTGACTCCCAGTTGGCCTTCACCCCCTTCCAGAAGCCTTCTGGCCCCCACCACACTTCACAGTAGACTCCCTCCGGTAGCCCCTCATCCAGCACTGCTCTGCTTTACACTGGCCTGTATTGTTGCATGTCTGTCTTTCCAGGTCTAAATGATCAGTAAGGGAAGAGACCCTGTATATTCCCAGCCAGTGCCTGGCTGACACAAATGCTCACATAGTGTCCACACAGAGGAATCCACTGTGCACCTGTTACCTGTCAGCCTCTGTGCTAGCTGTTGGAAATTGAAAAGTAGATAAGGCAGGCCCTGAAGAGCTTTTTGGTTAGAACAGGGAAAGTGACGTGGAAATCAAAGCAAGCCAGAATCAGGGGTAAAGATAGAAAACTACGAGTACTGCAAGATTGAACATTATTAAATAAAGCACAACACATTTCCCACCCCAACCCTCCCCCACCCTGCCACATGACCTGTTCTTGATTAATTACAATATGTACTGGAACAATTTCTCTGATCTTGTCCCAGATGTGCAATTGCAAGAATTCTTGCTACATCAATTCTTCTGCTTAAAGACTGCCCATAAAAGTTACAAGAAGCTGGGTTTGGGCAGCTCACACCTGTAAATCCTGCTACTCAGGAGGCTGAGAGATGAGGAATTTTGTGGTTCAAAGCCTGGGCAGAAAAATCCATGAGACTCTTATCTCCAATTAACCAGCAGAAAACCAGAAGTGGCGTTGTGTCTCAAAGTGGCAGAGTGTTAGACTTGAGCAAGAAAACCCATGACTGACCAAAAAGAGAAAAGATGTTACAAGAACCAGGTGCTCAGGCCAGGCACTAGTGGCTCACGCCTGTCATCCTAGCTACTCAGGAGGCTGAGATCTGAGGATTGCGGTTCAAAGCCAGCAGGAAAGTCCATGAGACTCTAATCTCAATTAACCACTAGAAAACCAGAAGTGGTACTGCGCTCAATTGGTAGCGCACTCGCCTTGAGCTGAAGAGCTCAGGGACAGCTCTCAGGCCCAGAGTTCAAGCCCCATGACTAATTAAAAAAAGAAAAGAAAAGAAATAGCTGCTCAGATCACACACCCCTCTGACTAGTCAGAATGTCCCAGATCCGGTGTCTCCAGGCTTGGGTGATAAATGTCAAAGTATTGTAATAGCAACAATGACTTAAAGATGCCAGGTCTTAACACAAAGAAACCACTGAGCTAAATCCCCAATCCCTTCCCTTGTATTTTTTTTTTGTCGGTCATGGGGCTTGAACTCTGGGCTTGGCCGCTATCCCTGTGCTCTTCAGCTCAAGCTGAGCGCTTTATCACTTGAGCCATAGTACTACTTCCGGTTTTCTGGTAGTTAATTGGAGATAAGAGTCTCACGGACTTTTCTGCCCAGGCTGGCTTTGAACCATGATCCTCAGATCCCAGCCTCCTGAGTAGCGTTACAGGTGTGAGCCACCGGTGCTCGGTTCTTCCCTTATATATTTTTTTAAATTTTTATTTATTTATTTATTTTTTTTGTTGGTCGTGGGGCTTGAACTCTGGGCCTGGGTGCTGTCCCTCAGCTCTTCAGCTCAAGGCGAGCGCTCTACCACTTGAGCTATAGCGCCACTTCCGGTTTTCTGGTGGTTTATTGGAGATAGGAGTCTCACGGTCTCTCCTGCCCGGGCTGGCTTTGAACCGCGATCCTCAGATCTCAGCCTCCTGAGTAGCTAGGATTACAGGCGTGAGCCACCAGCGCCCAGCAATTTTTATTTATTTTTTATTGTGAAAATACTGTACAGAGGGGTTACAATTACATGGGCAAGATTTCCCTTATATTTTTATGTGATTACTAGAACATTTAAAATTATGTGCCATGTGCCATATTTCTTTTTTCTTTCTCGTGCTAGTACGGGGTCTTGAACTCAGAGCCTCTCATACTTGCTCAGCTTTTTCACTCACAGCGGGCACTCTACCACCTAAGCCATGCCTCCTGTCCATTTCTATTGGACAGAGCTGTTTTGGAGCACTGGAACTTCACCACCAAGTGTTTTTTCAGTGGACCCGACTTAACTGGAATATGTCCATTCACTCATTCATTCTTTATGACATGAACATCTCGAGAGCACTGTGTGCAGGGCACAAACTTCCAGGACACGAGTGACAGACATAGGTCGGTTCTTGTCATGTAGCTGAGTCTTGGAGAGAGGTGGCTATAGCAACTCACAGTTGCAGCCCTGAGAGCGGGAGTCCTCAAGTGCAGCCGCAGAGCCTTCTGTGACTAAAACCTATGCTGCACAGCTGGAGCCAGAGCCTCCCCCACACCACCCTTCCCGACACCTTGTTTTACAGTAGAGAAACCCAGGTCCAGAGGATTTCAGGAAGCTGGGCCAAGATGAGGACTCAGATGACTCGATTCAGCCCCTACCCTGGGTGTGGTCTGTGAGCCACAGCCAGGAACAAGAGACTGACCCTGAACTTCACATTGCCAGGGATACTTTTCCCATTCTGTCGCCTGGAGTTGCCCACCCAGTACAGCAAGAGATGGCAAATCATCACTACTGTTTGCATGGCCAGCATCAAAAATTTCCCCAAGGCCATTTCTCCCAGGAGCAAAATCTCCCAGCTCTTGGTAAACTCTGGCTGCTCGAGGCAGTGGAACAATTAGGTCACATAGCACCGCCCTTGACTGATGGAATGTTCTTGTCATCCACTGCTTGTTTATCCTGCAGAATGATTGGCCCTTGTAGGCCTTGGGAGAGTAAAAACCCACAAAGGGGTCAACCACCAGTGGACTGTGGGAAGACTGGCCCCAGGGACCTTGACTTACTCACTAGGACTAAGAAGAAAGACTAACAGCACTGAGCATATTGGAAGCTGTCAGTGTGCTGCTGATGTCTGCCCCAGAGCACGTCCAGTGCATGTTCAGTGCACGTTCCGGCCATTTGAAGACTGGAGAATGAAAGTTGAGTGAGGCTCAACTATGAACAAAACTGGGCCAAGAAGCCCTAACTCTAAGACTTAGGGCTTCAGTCTTCCTCTCTATCAACTATTGGAGAAGTCACAGATATGTTCTCTTGAGCTTCCGTCCCTCATCTGATGGATGAGAGGAGTTGAGGTCCTGTCTGTAGTTGTGTCTATGACTCAGGACTGTCCCTAGCCCACAGAGCCTCCTTACAGCCCTGGGAGGCATGGACAAGCTGTTAGACACGGGGCATGCTGCAGAAAACAAGCAGATGACTCTGGACAGATGAGCTCCACATTCTACTGCTAGAGTGGGAATGCTGTGCGTTCTTTTCTTGTATGAGGCTTGAACTTGGGGCCTGGATGCTAACCCTTAGCTTTTTCTTTTCTTTTCTTTTTTTTTGCCAGTCCTGTGGCTTGAACTTAGGGTCTAATCACTGCCCCTGAACTTCTTTACTTCTTTGGCTCAAGGCTAGCACTGCCACTTGAGCCACAGCATCACTTCCAGCTTTTTCTGTTTATGTGGTACTGAGGAATCGAGCCCAGGGCTTCATGCATGCTAGGCAAGCACTCTACCACTAAGCCACATTCTTAGTCCTCCCTCAGCTTTTTCACTTTACCATTTGAGCCATAGCTTTACTTCTGGGTTTTTGGTTAACTGGAGATAAAGCTCTTGGATTTTATTGCCTGGGCTATTTGTTGAGCTCTGAGATGCTTAGATCTCAGCCTCCTGAGTAACTAGGATTACAGGTAGGAGCCACTGGCACCCAGCTGAGTGTTGAGCTGGGGGTTAAGGGGTTCAATACAGGACAGCAGAGTGTCCCACAAGGAAATCAGGGGTTATGGTGGCAAGTGAGGATTATTATTTTCCCAGGCTGCGATCAATGATCTTAACGCACTCCTTTCTGTGGGGTGATGGCCCCACACCTGACAGCATGGAATACCCCACCCTTATCTGAGCCCCAAACTCCTCCTTCCCCATCCTTTCCACCTGTAGCTGCTTATGGGCTAGTGGTTGGCTTTGAACAGATATCAGGGAATGACCCTGTTCAAACACAGCTCTCCAGGGGAGGGCTGAGTACTCACAGGGTTGCTTGGTCCCGGGATTCATGCGGGAGTGGAGGCAATCTGTTCTGGATCATCTTGAAACAGCAGCATGGCTCTAAGTAGACCCCTCCCACCTCCCTTCTCTGCAGAAGTATTCTTTGCTCAGATGAAAGGTTCAGTCAGGACACAACAAAAACCAGGGCTCGCTCTGTGGTGTGTGGGGCAGGCAGTAGATGCGGGGCTGCATCAGGGTGCAAAAGGAAGAGGCCATCAAGTGCATTTGTGTCCAGCACAGCTCAGGTCTAATGGGCTCCAGTGCTTTCCTATGGGAGCCTGGGACTCTGGCTTTGCTGGTGGGGCCGGTGAGCGTGGGGTGAGAAGGGGCGGTGGGAGTGGTGGGTGCTGTCACTTACTGCTGGTCTGTCATCTCGCCTTGTCATGTATCCTTCTCTGGGCCTCAGCTTTCAAATCCATAAAATGGGGGCTCAGTGCTCCCTATGCCCCCTTCTCGCTCTGACTGGTGAGAAGCTGGGGTTCCTTAATGGAGGGTCCACTGCGGAAGCGGGGAGCAGAGCACGATGAACCCAAAGGTCACTGCCACTATGGCACGAGGTCCCCGAGCCGTATCTTCCCATGAAGAAAAGCAGCTCAACCCACAGCCATTCCATTCCTTACCTTGCCCCAGCCGGGAGCCAGTGATGGCTTCTTTGGCAGTCCCAAAGCCCAGCTCTCTGCAGACCACGCTGGCGGACACTAGGTCCCACTTGTCATCACAGACAGTCCCCCACTCTCCGTTCTTGAGCACCTCCACGCGGCCCTCCCCGACCTGGGCACCACCTCTAAGCCGCACCAGGGGTTGCTGGAAAGAGACATATAGTTCTGAGTACAGAGGCAGCGTGTGTCCTGTGGTCCATCCTTCCCCTGTGCGTCGACAGGCTAGCTCCCCAGTCTAGAAGCTGACACAGTGCTGGATTTGGGGCAGGGGGATGGGAGAGACAGAAGGAAGGGGCTCACACTGAAGTCTGCTCTCCCATAAGGCCCCTGAGCAGCTCTCCTATGGACTGCCTGCTGGGACCACCGAAGAGCCCATCAGGGACTCTATAATCAAGTCATCTCCCAGCTCATGCCTGGCTCCTGGCTCTCACCATCTGCTGAACCCCATAGCTTCCAGCACCTGAGCTTCAAGGGCGTCTGCCCCACAGGCCTGCAGATCCCAAATGAACCACAATCCTACGCTGCTCACAGCAGAGATCTCCAGGATGGTGCAGTGTGCCCTGGCGGGAGGCAGGCGGGAGCTGGCACGTGGAACTTGCCAAGAAAACCACACCTATTCCTGTGCCAGGGGACGGACCTTGCCTAGTAAAGACCCACATCTGCCCAGATGCTTCCTGGTCTTCATTCTAGTCCTAATCAGCCCCGATTCTCCAAAAGAAGACATGAAATGTCTCCAGGGCTCACTGAGCTTCTGCAATAACACAAGACCCTGCGGATTGTGTCTTGGAGGCTGCATGCATCCACTCTGGTTTATATCAGTTTCTGTGCACGTGCGTGCACTGGGGAAGCTCAGACATCTTTGAGTCTCTGTTATGTCCGACACCTACTGTGTTGCCTGTCATAGCTTTTATATCAGGCTGGAGTCTGTGTTCTTTCCTGGCCCATGACTTCCTGCAGCTCCCTCCGCTCCCCACAGATGTCCCGGACCAGGTGGGATTGGCTGGAGGTGGTTGGTTCCAACCAATCACATTCACCAGCCACCTGGAGATGGGGGAGGGAGGCACAGGACATCACACAAGCGCCTGGCCCCCACTGACAGCACCCCAGGGCTGGCCTGGCAGGGTGGGGGGCACACTGCCAGAAGGGGAGTTTGTTTTGTTTTTAAGTACAGTGTGTCAGCCAGCCAGTGCCTTCAGGAACATTTTATTTAAAAAAAAAAATAGAACAAAGACTAGAGGCGTGGCTTAAGTGGTAGAGCGGCTGAGTAGCAAATGTGAGGCCCTGAGTTCAAACCTCAGCCTTAGTCCCCCACAAAGAAACCAAAAGAGAGGAAGAAGGAAAAGGAAAGAAAAAGAGAGAGAGAGAGAGAGAGAGAGAAAGAAGATAGAACGCGGTGATTAACAGTGCTGGCTTCAGCCCATCTTCCGCAGAACTGTGACCTCCCCCATCTCCTTTCCCAAGCTGTGGAACGGGATGTGGGGGCCCCTCCATGGCCCCCAGACGGATGGAGGCAGAAGTGTCAGATAACTCCCCCGGCCCCAGCAGTGGCCCCAGCAGTGGCCGGGCAGCCAGCCAGCCAACCCTGCAGGGAAGACGGAAACCAGGGAAAATGTGATGTCAGCTTCCCGTGGTGGTCACTGGTTTGGTATGAATCTGATCACTTCACTTTAAACCACACAGCAGAGGAGTTCCAAAACAGTAGGATCTGGCACTCTGGGTGACACAGGCTGGGGCTGGGGAGGGACGTGCCTGCCAGATGCGGCAGGGGCAAGTGAGGGGAGGGGCGGGGAAATGGCACTGCCCAGGGAAGCCCATGCCGAACGTGTCTGTGCACTTCTGAGGCCGCTCAGGAGATGAGGAGATTCGATCCACTGCCTTCAGGAAGTGCCTGGAGGTCAGGAGGTCATTCCAAACAGGCCCACACCTGGGCTGTGCTCCCAGAATGCCTCTCACCCCTGCCTGCATTCCCATCTCTGTGGGAGGATAGTTACCCTAGCACACTTCTGCTAAGATGGGGTAGAGATTAGAGGGCAGGAGGGGAGGGGAAGGATGGTCTGGGACATAGATGAAGGTGGGGGAGAAGCCATCTCACTGCCTGCGTCCACCTTCACACGCTCCCTCTCTCCTGGTGAGGCTCGCGCGGCTGCTCTCTCCTGCCTCTGGCTTGGAACTCACCATGCCCACCTGATGGTATCTGGACTGCCTCCACCCTGATCAACAGTCACCATCCACACTTCCTCTCTTCCTTCTGAGGGGTGTTCCCACCTATGGGTGTAGCACCCCCTCCCAAGGCAGTTTCAAAATCAGACAATTGGGTGGATATATGAAAAAAGAAAAGTAGAAAAACGAAAAGCTGGAGGGGTAGGTGGGGTGGCGGGAGATGGGAAGAGATGGAAGAGGAAACAAAGGAGGAGGCAACAATGCTTGATAAGAAATGTGCTCATTATCTTGCCCATGTAATTGTAACCCCTCTCTGCGGTATTTTCACAATTAAAAAAAAAAGAAAAAGAAAAATGAAAAGCTGGCACTTCCAACCTGTCATCTCGCTACTCAGGAGACACGGATCTAGAGGATCTCAGTTGAAGGCTCAGGCTAGGGGGGAAAGTTAGCAAGCTCTCATCTCAACCAACAAGTTGAGTATGGTGGTGTACATCTGTGATCCTCGCAAAGCAGAGGAAGGAGGGATCCGAGGCTGGGAGGCAGGGTTGGAACAAAACCTAATATCACCTGAACAATACAGCCAAAAAAAGTACCGAGCATGTGGCTAGCACGAACAAGATCCTGAGTCCAAACCTCAATGTGGTTATAAAGAAGAAAAGGAGAAAGAGAAAAGAAAGAAGAAAAGGACAGAATGAAGTCAGTGGGTCGACCCTCCATGGCTGAGACAATTCACTTGTCCTGAGGATCCATGGGATCATGGAGGAGATAATGGAGGAGCCACGTCTCTGTGACAGCCACGCCCATTTCTCTATGCCCGCCCCCATGCTGTGACACAGGCACCACTGGGCTTGTGCTCACAGGGGGACGGAGGACTTGGGCATGGGAAGGGCACGCTTTCTATCTTGGCGGAAGCTTGAAGCTTTGGCAATTGTCATCCCCCCTGTGGTGAAATGAGTCGCATGCATCTGGAAACAAAGTGGCAGCCTCCGCCATGGTGGTCCTGGCCGGGCCCGGCTCTTCTCGCCCTCTCTGATGGGTTCCTTGGACCCCCGCAGCCCTGCCCTGGTACAAGCGGCCATCCTCCCAGCCCCGTCCTCACCTCTGGCTTGTAGGCTTTCCGGAATCTTGAGGGTCCCTCGGGGCTGAAGACCTGGCCAGGCACGCAACTGACCACGGCGGGCTGCCCGTTCTCGCAAGAGGTGTTCTTCACAGGGTCGCGTGACACAGGGGGCCCCAGCTTGCAGCTGGAGATGTGGGCCTCGGTGCCCGTGCAGTTCATGGAGAACTGCCAGTAGCGTGTTTTCCTCCTCCTCGAGGCGAATGCTCTGCCAGGGGAGGGGGAGATGGGGGGTGAGCAGGCATCCTGCTACCCACCTACGCCCTTATGACACTGGGCACCCGCAGCCCCCAGCGCACAGCCCTGCTTCAGCCCAGGTCGACAGTGACGCCCTCTTCCAGTGCTGCACAGAATAAATGTACACTGGTCTTAGGTGAGCCCATCTGCGGAGTCCAAGCATGATTTGCACAGTGACAGAAACCACAAAGCTTATCACATATTCAGCTGTGAAAATGAGTGAGGTCGCTGTCTCAGTCCCTCAGCCTAGAAGTGCTACACACAAACACAGTTCCTTTCCCTGTGTTTTTCATTTGGAGGCAGAATATGGGTTAAGGTAAGACAAAGAACCCCCCATCCCCACCACCCCTGCCAAACAATAACAAACCGACAATAATATACTAGCCAATAGACTCAATATCCTTGGGCCCAAAGCAGACATAATACAAATATCTGCTTCATTAGACGGTCAGGTGTATTAGCCTGTTTTCTGCTACTACAGCAGGATATCACAGACTGGGATAATTTATAAACAATAGAAGGTTTATTTAGTTCATAGAGGCAATGGCTGGGAAGTCCAAAAAGCGAGGTGCCAGGACGTGTGTGTGTGTGTGTGTGTGTGTATCATGAGACTTTTTTTTTTTTTTGTCAGTCATGGGGCTTACTGGGCTTGGGCACTGTCCCTCAGGTCTTCAGCCCAAGGCTAGCACTCTACCTCTTGCGCCACTGAGCCACTTACAGTTTTCTGAGTGGTTAATTGGAGATAAGAGTCTCATGGACTTTCCTGCCTGGGCTGGTCTTGAACCATGATCCTCCAGTCTCAGCCTCTTGAGTAGCTAGGATTACAGGTGTGAGCCACCAGTACCAGGCTCCAATAAGACTTTTATTTCCAATTAATTACCTAAAAGGCTGGAAATATAGCTGTGGAAGTAGTAGAGTGCCAGCCTTGAGCAAAAAAAGCTCAGGGACAGCACCAGATCCTAAGTTCAAGACATAGGACACAAGCGTGCGCGAGGGCGCGCGCGCGCACACACCCTCACACACACACACACACACGAAAAGACATGGAGAGGGGTCCTGCAGTGGGAGTGATGAGGACAACTTCATCCAAGCAAGCCTAGGCTCTCTTTAGACCTTGAAGGATGGTGGGGTTGGGAAGGAGGAGGCCTGGGGGTGGAGATACCCCATCCTCTGATGCTGTCTGGCTGCTTGGCGGGACACAGGAGACGCCAGGGGCAATCAGGGCAGCCTCCTGTGGAGGAGCCTCTGGCAGGCTCCGGCAGGCTGACCCAGGCTGACTCGGGGAGCGGCCACCTGCGGATGGAGTGCCCTGGGAACTGCTTTGTCTCACAGCAAATGCAATGTAAACCCAGAGGAAGGACAAACCCTACAGACATCACCATCACCCTACCTTAACTTTGAGAACTAACGGTGACAGTTCCATCCAGTCTGCTGGGAGAATTCAGGATGTGAGCATACCACAGTGACGTCACAGAGTGGAGAAGCCCACAGGACGGCTATGAATTCCAGAACTGCCCCTCTCCCCACTTCCGGCATGGCTAGTTCCCTTGGCTTCCTCCCACACACACGGGGAGGGGGGGATCCCCAGCACCACATCAGCAGGGGCCCAGGGGCCCTCAGGAACCTCCTGTATCCAGCTGTCAGACTTCCCAGCCGCTCCAGAAACAGATGTGCTGAGCTCTTAATGTGTAAGGGGAGGGCTGCAGCACACAGAGCTGCCCCAAACCGCAGGATTCCATCTTACATCAGCCTCCAGGAATGCAATACCCAAGACCCTCAGCGGGGTGTGATTCATTCCATTCACTGGCTGGAGAGGCCAGGCCCTGACCCCAGGATTACAGAGATGAGGTGTGTATGTGCATGTTGTGTGGAGGGGTATGGGGGGGGGTGTGGGGGTGTGCAGGGCAGCCCTTCCCAGGCCTTGGAGATGGAAAGGATGGCTAGATCTGGGGGAAGCCTTCAGCCAGGCTGGAGACCCGCTGAGCCAGAGCAGGAAGGAAGCTGGAGTGATTACATTAAGCTTAAGTTGAGAAGTCTAGCAGCTCTCCCTGGCTGGGGAAAAGCCAGATTTTGTGCAACTTTGCCAGCTGCTGAGTATGTCTGTTCCAAGTATGTTCTCCAGATCTGGGGAGATCACAGGATCAGTTTTTTGGAGATCCATTAGTTCCACATGAGTTAGACTTCAGCTAAAACTCTTCAAGTTCCCCTTTGAACTATAGGGAGACAGCAATGTATTTGGCTGGAGCGGTGTCATTTCAGAGCCAGTCGCCAGTAGTGCCCACAAGGTCTAATTATTCTGTCCTTTCCACCGATAAAGTGCCCCTCAAGGGAAGGCTGGGAGAAACAAAACAGTACAAGTTTTTGGCAGGGTACCCAGGTCCTCGCTCAAGGGGATCGGGTCTCCCTTTCATTCTGGAGTTCTGTGTTGGCAAAGTGGCTCAAATCTGGCAATTGTTTGCCTGGGCTGGCTTTGAACAGCGATCTTCAGATCTCAGCCTCCTGTGACAAGCTGTGCTTATGACTTGTTTGCTTGATGTATGATTGACGTATGGCAGATCAAGAAGTTCTTGTACGAGCGGGACACTAGTGGCTCACACCTGTAATCCTAGCTACTCAGGAGGCTGAGATCTGAGAATTCCCAGTTCAAAGCCAGCCTAGTCAGGAAAGTCTGAGACTCTTGTCTCCAATTAACCACTAGAAAACTAGAAGTGGGGCTGTAGCTCAAAGTGGTAGAGCACTGGCTTTGAACAAAAGAGCTCAGGGACAATGCCCAGGTCCTCTGTTCAAGATCCATGACCAACCAAAAAAAAAGTATTTATTATATAAGGCCTTTTATTCCAGGAGCACCATACTCAACCAGCCAGCGATGAATTCTGCAGAAGTCAGATGATTCTGATGACCGCGCTTCACCCTGCTGACCTTCCATGAACCACACCCTCATACCTTGGGTTGTCTGACATCCTGTCTTGGCTCTGGCACCCCAAGATTACTACCACTGCAGTGAGATTTTCCAGTTGCCTCTCACACTGTGAAGTGTGACCTTTAAGAGCAGAGCTCTGTGAGGACACGAGCTCTCCTCACAATTAGGGTGAAATCTGTGCCTTCTAGATCCTTCCAGGGTGGGTGACAAATCCACTCTGCCCATCCCAACGGTCCCCTGCCTTTGGATCCCAGTGCTGTGAGAGGCCTGACGCCACAGTCCCTGCTCTGGTGGGCTGGCTGTCAGAGCTACGCCTTCCTGGACTGTATACCCACTCCGCTGTCAGGGCTGAATTCCTGGAGGGATGCCAGCCTGCTGTGACAGATGAAGGACAGCCCTTCGCAGGGCTGACCTGTCAGTGCAGGGAGGATAAAGCACCCAGGGCCCTTCCCCAATCCCGGCACAGCTCTCTTACTTGTAGGCTTTGGTGTTATACATCTTCTCCCCAGGGAAGCCAAACATGCCACAGACCACGTGGGAGTTCTTGGCGGTCCAGTCCTTGTCGCAAATCTGCTTCCAGGTCTTTCCTTCCTTCACCTCCACGTAGCCCTCTGTCACCGGGGAGCGATGGCGGAAGGCCGAGAGGACAGGGCGGATTCGGATGTCCTCCACCTGGATGTTCAGGCTCTGGGAAGGAGAAGGCATGCGAGTGATGGGTTATGGCCATGCGCTTGTGGCTCATGCCTGTCATCCTAGCTATTCAGGAAGCTGAGATCGGAGGATCGTGGTTCCAAGCCAGCCCAGACAGTAAAGTCCAGGAGATTTTCATCTCCAATTCATCAACCCAAAGCTGGAAGACAAGCTGTAGCTCAAGCAGTAGAGTGCTATCCATGAGCAAAAAATACTCAGAGACAGAGTCTAGGCCCTGAATTCAAGCCCAAGGAGCAACACAAAGACAGAGGTGGGGGGAGGGAAGGAGATGGAGGGTGGGGTGGAGGGAGAGGGAGGGGGAGGAGAAAGAGTGTTACATCCTTAATCTGCTCCTGGAGAGGCCCTAAGCACCAAGTCCTTTTCCAGGTACCAGTGGCCAGAGCTCTGATGTCTTTCTGTTTCAAGGCCTGCAGAGGGCACAGGTGTTCCCAATGGCACAAAGCCCATACCATGGTCATAAAGTGCAATGTGTGGGAAGCAACGTGGCTGCAAGACCTAGAGAAGGGATTTGGGGGAGGCGACTGGGAGAAGTCAGCATGGACTTGAGGACCTTCAGCTCCTCTCTATCCTATTAAGGAACCTAGTTAAGTTGGAATATTACTTGGCCATGTCAAGGCAACATGTGGAATGCTTCTTAGCCTGGGGGAAGTCTACCCTACTTGTGTTACTGGGCCAACTGGAGTGGAGACTGGGGTCAGGGCTGTGAAGGGGGTTCATGGGCAGATCATTCTGGAAGGCAGGGAAGAAGGTTGGAGGAGGGGGAAGAGGAAGGCGCCTTCTCTACACTGAGCCGCAATGTCCCGGCCTCCTACTAATGCCTGAGTCCCAGGGGATAGGGCAGAAAGAGTGGGGTCTCCAGAGGCCATGGTAGATGAGAGGAACTCGGGAGGGGGCTCCCCAGAGGGACACTTTCTTATGCTTCTCGGAGGCAGGCCACATCTGTCCCTCAATCCTAAGGAAGCTCCTCCCAATTGTCTCAGCCCCACCCCCGTCAGTCAGGTCAGGGCCAGCTCTTACGATTGTCCTTAGTTGAGTCTCTGTCCCTTCCTACCACAGGGCCAGTAACCCAGGAGCTCTCTCTAAAACACCCGCCTAATCTGTCCTGCCATGGTGACTTACGGAAGCCCGCAGGCCTTCTGCCCACACAGACCCCTGACCTCCCTGGCTCTGAGTGCTGGCTGGGACCTAGCCCCACGCCAAGCCCCTGGATGTGTGTCCTCTTTCTTAACCCTCGGGCAGCATAATGCAATGGTTGTCCTCGACTGTAATTTGCTCTGCCAGGCCACCCTGGGGTACAGCGTGAGATGCACCATTGGCAAGGCAGAGACGGAGGAAGACCGAGGCTGGAAAGAGGAACTCAGTGACCCAACTGTCCTGAGCTTGTCCAGCCAGAATGCAAATGAGCCACGAAATTGAACAGCACCATTATTTGGGTGCCCAGGGATTCATGTCTCCTCCTGTCGGCTTAGGGTCCAAAGCCAGGCCCTGCTCCTTGCGGGGCGGTGGAAAGAATGTGACCTAGAAATGATGGCATTTGGCACTGGCTCCCTTCCATGCGGAGCGGAAGGAAAGCCGCCAGGGGCAGGATTATGTGTTCCAGCCCGGGGTCCTGGAGCCTATACAGCCCTCACCAGGCCACAGGACCTGTGCCACGGAGACACGTGGGCAAGGATGAGCCCACAGTCCAGCCTCCTCCTGCCTCTCTCCACTGCGGGAGACTGCTGGCATCTCAAGGTGGCCTGAGTCATGCCGGGAGGAGAGGACTGTCGAGTGCCAGTCCCTGGCAGGCAGGGCTGACCTCATTCCATTCACAGAGCTCTCTCCAGGCTTTGTGCAGAGGCACGGGCTTTGGGGTGGGAAATGTGACCCTAGCGCTGTCCTATAAGAAGAGGAAGACCAGCTCAAGAGCCTAGCTAGCAGACACCCCAGGGAAGAGCTGTGCCAACCACAGGGCCTGAAGCCAGAGTACGCAGACACATCTGCCAGAAGGCTCTCTTCTTGATGGACAGGTCTCCTTGGAAGACCTGTGCCCGGGTTCCAGGCAATGTAGCCCAGGGATCACCAGCCCGTTCATGCTTGTGGTGTGCATGGTGGTGTGTGTGTGGCTCTATCTGTGTGTGTGTCTGTTGTGAATCCATGTGTATATGAATTTATGTACCAGTGTTGGCATGCGTCTGTGTGCATGATCGTGGGCAGAGTGAGGTGGTATGGGTGGGTCTACATCAGTGGCTCTGATGATGATGGTGGTGGTGGTGTGTGTGATGTGGCAGGAGTGTCTGAGGGTATAGGTGTCTGTGTATCAGGATGGAGGAGAGGGAAAGAGACGTGTTCTCTCCAATGCCTTAGGAATTCAAAACAGCAAGGCAAGCGCTCTACCACTGAGCCACCTTCCCACTGGTTCCACCAAGATGGGAGGTGTCCTCTTGTCCTTTGATGGAACCAAATCCTTCCTGTTCTATAGGGCTTGAATTCATTCATTCATTCAGCAAAACCACCGTCTCACTTCTCCATGGACCCTGGCAGGCTGCTTGCCTACCTCTGTCACCTGTTAAGTGTGGCTCCCACTTATCAAATGCCAATCAAGTGCATACCAGGCCCTGTGCCTAGAACTCAATGTCCATTTCCAGGACAACCTAGGAGGTGGCTAGTGAAAACACTAGAGAACGTGGTGAGGTTTCATAGCTTGTTAAAGTTCTGATAGCCAATCAGCAGGTTAACTCTGTGCCTGTGGTCCAGGCTGCGGCACTGGACCACTGAGCAGCCTTCCTCCTCATGGATATGAGGCTGTCCTGTGTGAGGCCTGGCATTGAAGGTGACCCACAAGGGGTGGGGCCTGGGTCTCAACTTCTGGGTGGCCCCTTTGGGGTCCTGCCTCCCACTGTGGACGAAAGTCCTAGGCCACACCCCCTGGAGCTGTGAGGCAGAGGGGACCGTGTCTGTAAAAGCACTGAGCTGGGGCTCCTGCCCATTTTGAACTGGGGCCCATATGAGGCAGCAGAAAAGCCTCGGTGGGGTGGCACGCACCCCGCCCACGTGCAAGCTCCCAGCTCCCCCAGCTGCTGGCAGATGTCCTGGTTAGAAGCCACATGCACACACGCACGGCCTCGCTCCTACTTCACTGCTGTGGAATCCTTCCCTAACCACAAGGACTTAAATTTGCTTTTTTTTCCCCCCAGAAGTTTAGCTCTGAAAGAGAAGATCTGAAAGGTCGACAGAGAAGCACGGTTGTCGTTTTTAATGCAGGGCTCTCTGGAAGATTCGCTAGCTCAAAATGAAGTCCCCACCCCCTCGTCTTGTCCTCTATAGGTCTCATCCTATCCCAGCACTCCACTGAAGCCCTGGGAGGGATCAGCGCCCACTGCCAGCAAGAAAACCCGCAGAGCATTGGGCCAGGGCCCTGTGCTGCTGCGGTTCATGGGCTTGGGAAAGAAGGGCTGACAGGAGGGAGCACTCGGACCCAGACTCCCTGAGTTACATCTGAATGGATGTGGTTCAAGATGTGTAGCATCTGCCAGTGACTTGTAAATTCCATCACCTATTTGTAAAGTCCAGCTGGAGATTTCATCAAGGAATAAGCGAGGAGAAGGAAAACAAGGAAGAAAGAGGCCCTTGGTGTCTATTTCCTGTGGTTCCTAGAAGCTCTATGTCAAGTAAATCACCCCTCTAAGGCATGCTGGCAAGGCCAATCTCCTTTCTCCTCCTCTCTGTTAGAGAAGTCATAATTTACTAGCAGCCCAGGCCCTCCCACTGAGAAAGCAACCTGGGGCTGGGGTGGAAGGCACATCATTATCCTGCCAGGCTAGTAAAATGTGCCACCGGTTAGAAGCACCTGTACACTCTGCTCATACAGCAGGCTGCCATTCTCTGATGCCAGTGGGTTCCGATATATTGCTGGACCATGATACTATTTCTGCCTCAGAGCTGAGATGCAGGTGTGTACCACTATATCTAGTTTATTGGTTGAGATAGGGATCTTCAGTTAACCAGCAAAACTCTAGGCTGGATGCATGGTTGGATTAGATAATGATCTGCTCCTCCGCCCAGGTTAGATGCAAGATGGGTATTGTCTGTGAGCAGTGTGGATGTGCCACACTGTAACCAGAAAATCAGAATTCATAGTTTAAGAGCCTGCCTTAAGATTGATGAGACAGGGCTGGAAAGGTGACTCAGTGGTAGAGCGCTTGCCTTGCATGCCAGAGGCCCTGGGTTCGATTCCTCAGCACCACATAAGCAAAATGAAAAAAGCCGGAAGTGGCGCTGTGGCTCAAGTGGTAGAGCGTTAGCCTTGAGCTGAAGAGCTGAGGGACAGCGCCCAGGCCGAGTTCAGGTCCCACAACCACGCCCCCCCCCAAAAAAAAAAAAAGATTGATGAGACAGATGGACGAAGGGGAAGAAAGGAAGGCATTTCAGTGATTTTTTTTTTCTTTTGTGCTGACACTGAACTCAAGGCATCATATTCTTGCTGCCATATCTCCACTTTGGGCTTTTTCCTGGCTACTAAGAGATGAGTCTCTTGGATTTGTCTGCCCAGGCTAGTTTCAAACTTCTGCCTCCTGAGTAGCTAAGATGAGCCACTAGCATGAGCAGCATGAGCATCTAGGATAATAAGGCCTTGGAGATTTTGTTGTTGCAATTGTTTTGGATTTTTGAGACAGGATCTGGCTATGTAGCCTAGGCTGGCCTCGAACTCACAATCCTCTTCCTTCCTAAGTACTGGATCACAGGCATGTATTTTTTAACCATGTCTGGCTCCATTTCTGTAACTTCTGTTGCCTGGCTGGAGAGGGGGTGGAGTAGGATGGTGTGGAGAGCTGAGGTGATGCTGACATCACCAGAGGGAAGCACTGTGTCTGTCTGGACTTCCTCTTAGAAACCAGGAGCTTTGCAATGGTGATGGAAAAATCAAAGGCTCCCGGTTGCATTTTCCAATCTGGATGCACTTGGGTAGGTAACAGAGGTTGCTTCTGGGGAGAGTG